CTGCATTAACTGATACAGGCCCAATTTGCCATCCAATGGCCCTTTTCCCCAAGGCGTAATGCACGCATATAAATATTGCATATGCTGGCGATATGCGCATCTGAGAGCTTTACGGCTGATTTAGGACTGATTTCTTTGCTGGTCCCCCAGGATGGTCCACCTGAAGGGGGTAACTGCACACCCACAGACGCTTACACACCCCTGCGCCTCCCTCGGCTGTGCCTGTGAGTTTCTGGAGTGTCATTCTCCCATAATCCCCTGTTTTTCGGTCTATGGCCTTAGGAGCAGAGCCTAGATATCTGTTATTCTCTCTTTCCCAGCATCATGTGCTGATCTCTCTCTCCTGTTTGATCTGAAGTGGGTATATGGGCTGAGGGTGGGTGCGGGGGGGGGACAAAGGAGGCACCTACAACCCAGTTTCATTTTGTTTATGTAATATCAGCACCTCCGGGCCTTTGCAGCCTCTACTGCAGCCGGTCTGTGCAGCCTGTACCTCATGGATATTTCAGGGGGGTGTTGAGGGAGTGGGGGACAGGAGAATGTATGGGGGTGGGAGTGGGGGCGGGTAAATTGTGTTTCAATCTGGAGTCCCCCAGTTGAGTTCCCCTGATATAGCTCAGTAGATTTACCTTTGTGGACCGGCACCCAAACACGCTGACGTGCTGCAAATGCCGGCTATTTTAACAGGCTAACACACAGGGGCTGTGCCCGCACATCTGCGCCGCGTAGCACTGGGTGTCCGGCTCGTACCCTCCCCGGCTGCGGTGGCACGAGGCCCGCGGACTCGCCAGCTGAGCAAATACAACGCGGCTGCTACTCAGCGCTAAGGACGGGATCTGAGAGAAAGCCTGAGGATCACCAACAGCCAATCACCAGCAGCCAATCAGCAGCAGGTTCCCTCTGCTGCAAGGATTATTATTCGAAGTATGGGCATCTGAAACAAACAGGGCTGCAGAGATAAAACAGTATCATGTCTCGGACGATGAGCAGGCACTGGATATACTCTAGCATCAAACACGCAGATCCCTGGATTGTTTTGTTTGTGGAAGTAGTTCTGGCTATAAATAAGGCTGGGCGCCTGGGGGTTTGGTTCAAATCCTGAATCCATTTTTGAAGATTGCATGTTCTCTTCCTGTAGCCCAAAGACATGCAGTGAGGCTAAGTGACATCTTTAAATTTCCTGTAGTGCATGACTGGGTGTCAGTATGGGACCTATGAGAGACCAACACCCGAGTCATGTGCCCCCCCCCCCCCCGACTATGACAGGTGGGTAGACGATGGATGCATATTCATTGCTCATCTTCTTTCCTCATGAATGTAGTTTTCAGCTAAACGTGAGGGTAAGGCCACAAGCCATGGGTGCAGGAAGACTAAGTATTTAAGGATGGTTATACCAAACGTGTACTGTAAGACTAATCCACAGCTCCCTAAAGGGGGGAATAAAGCAAAACCAGACAATGAAGATGTGCCAGCAGTTCACAGTCTGATATAACTTATCTTAGAATTACTTTTAAAACAATGTTTGAAATTCTAGTCAGGTAACCCTTTCAAGAGACCTCGTTAAGCATTTCAGTATAATGTATTTATCGGTTTCCTTTCTAACCGAAGAATAACACAGAAATTTTATGTGGACAGCTATCGGAGTCAGACGCGTGTGACCTAAATCAGAATGCGACGCAATGAACTGCGATGAACATAGTTTGCAAAATTAGAGCAGCTTTTACAGACGTGACAATTCTCCAGGGACTCTTTCCGAAACAGTGGAGAAAGACCAGAGGTGGATGAAATTCCACTGCTGCAGAACCACTGGCACTGGACCGACTCACCTAGAAATATTAGAAACAGCTTTTTATTTCTTGGACAAATCCCAAGACACAAATGTTCTGTGCAGCCCAGTTTGAGAGCGCGTGTTATCTTTTCTCTAGTCCGGGGTAGGGACAATGGGATGTGAAAAATCGATCTTAGCCTTTATGTGGTGCGGCCCTGTGGTGAATTTCCTGCCTCCCGGTTCGATGTTGCCTGATTGCATTTTAATTGAAACTTGGCTGGCCTTGTAAAATCTTCAAGGACCCTGCAGGTAAATGAGGTATGTGGGGGTGGTGGGGGACTGTGAGGAGTGTCCGCATGCTGATTTGGTATTACCTCCCCCCCACATTGGGGCTTGAATACACACCTGCCGGTGCTGAAAGAGGACGCGGGGGCCCATGGAGCGATCTTATCACGTGATGGATCAGCACCGGTCTGAAGGGGGCCAGCAGGAGAGGGATGGAGTCTATAATAGAAATAAAGTGTATAATAGATATGAAGTGTGTAATAGATTCAAGCAGGAGCTCATCTTTATCTCAGCGTTATCATTTTAAGCTACACATGTAGGTTTCTTAGAAAAGCGTGGCTCTATTTGGCGTTAGCCTTTTAAGATATCCCCCGACCCGGGTAGAAGACGGATGGATTATATGATATTGTGGAAGAAGTTACAGAAATAAAAACCATGAGAGTGTAAACGTGGTTTACATTTTCAGCAGAGGATGGAGGGAGATGAATTAGAAAAAGGTACTTTTCTTGGGCCTATAAGAGAGTATAGAGTGGTAGGTTGAGGATCGGGGGGGGAGCCTTTTCATATAACCGCCCCGGAAAAGGCACAGGGGAAAGGCACTACCTTTCTTTTGGCTTGATTTGCATAATATGACAAATAATTAATTCATTGTTCAGTCTACTGTCTGTGTTCTCTTCATGCATTACACCATGCCTGATCTGTACAGCGCTGCATTGCATTGTGGGTATAAATGAGCTTCCTTGACAACAGAGCAGATGTATTCATTATTCAAAGGAGTTTACATTATTTTTAATAGCCAACTGACCAATGATTCAGTAATTAGGTTGCAGTGATAATTAGAGTATGTTCCAGTGCTGACTATATTCAGGTTTAGTAATGAGATGCTTGTCAAACATTAAATAAAGGCTAAAATAACTGATTACATCTTGAATCTGGTATCTGAGACATTGTAAATCAAGCTGGATGAGATCTTTTGCCTTTGGTGTTTTACAAAAAACCCTCCACAGCTCGTATCAGAATTATCAGAATCTACTATGATAACTGACGAGTTGGTAATTATTGATACAATAAATAGATTAGATAGAAATAGCAAGGTTATTAAATTGGCACGCCTGTAAATCACAGATGGGGGTCGATAATTCCTGATGCCATCGCTTGCTTCTGACTCGGTTTTTGCCAGGCTTTCTCTCCTTTTCTCTCTCTCCTTCTCTCTCTCTCTCTCTCTCTCATCTCATATGTGCTTGCTTGACAAATCTTTTGTTGGGTGTCTTGCTTTTGAAGGGCCTTTAATAACCTGATCTACTTTACAGATTAATTAGAGACTGTCACTGCTGCAAGACGCATCAAAAACACACAAATCTGTAGGTCTAATTAGGGACATTTAATTTCTGATGCATACTTATCAAAGGCCGTGATGATCTGGCTTTCAGGGCATCAAATGAAAGTGAATTTCTGATAAAGAGGGACATGCTTTAGGCTCTGTGTTGGCATGGTGTACAGAGCACCCTGTGTTCTGGGGCAGAGAGCAATTTACAATAGTTACTCTCTTACTGCTGCATTTTGTGTGATGCAGTGACTATTACAGTATACGCTACATGCCGAGTGCATTTCCTTTGTATAAGTAGGGCAACATGTAATATTTACTAAAAATTGTCAGTGCACAAATATTGTGAATTAAGATCTATTTCCAGTTTTGGGTTATTTCCAATAATAGGAATTACTTATTTTTCAGAAAAATCTTTATACATTCAGATAATCATAAAAATCTGTTCTTATGTGTTTTACACAGTTACCACTGTACTTAATAATACTAAAATTATATCAGTAGTAATATAGTTGTTTTCGTTATGCCATTACTGTATGTAACTCTTTTTGTTGTGTAGTTCAGTGTTTCCTAACCTTTTTCTAATGTGGCACACTTAACATAAGGCAGTTATTCCAGGGCATGCCATTGATTAACACATAATATTAATTGGCCCGTACCCTCAATGTGAAACCTCACTTTCAGTTTCAAGTACGTTTTCTGAAATTTTCCTTTTTAAAAATTTGTCCATGATCTTCTCTTTTCACAACAGGACAGTCTGCAAACTGTCAAACATATGAATACAAAGAAGTGTAGGGTGATCTTATTCTTGGCTGTATTTGATTACATGACAAGTGCGTTTATAGCCCATTGGTCAATTAAATGAAGAAGAAGTCACTTATGCACAAAGCTTTTTCTTTGTTCAAGCCACTTAAAGTACATTCAAATTTAAGTATTAATACATAAGCTTTCCTTATTTAGCTGGGCAGTTCTAACAGGACACTAGTGTGCTGTGGCTCACCGGCTGAAAAACACTGGTGTAGTTAATGGAGTACTACTTCACTTTATTAAGTAAATATTTTAGTTTCCGATGCTGATGCCAGGTTATATGCTCTAAAAAGACTCTTACAGCTTGTAAATTCACACAGACACATACACATGTGGTGAACAACAGCTATACTGGGAGAGTGTCATTTTTGTTCTGGTTTTAAAAATTGTAAATGTTACAAATGTGTAAATGTTACTTTTCAAATATACATCTCGGATTATAAGTATCATTCATATTTATACCATTTCATTAATTAAGGCTCCTCTGCTATGCTAGTTATGGTGATTCTCTGTGCTGTGATCAAATAACAAGAGAGTAGGTTGTAAATGTAAATGTAAACCTGTCTCCGTACCAGGACTGGGTGGGAGGGGGGACGAAGGTGCCAGTTAATTATGGATGGAGCATTTGCCGGTGCCATATCACTGGCGTGCATCTGGAAGCCTGCTGTTGTTACTCTAATAAAGCCTAAAATCCAATTTTCTTGCCTGCCCCTGCTTCTAGCTGGGGTCACATATTCTGAGCTAATTTGTTTGTCTGGCTTCTGCTTAGTACTGAACAAACGGTCAGTCATCTGAATGCGGCTCTCAGTCACTCGCAAGGACAGTAGATGTCTAAAATGTCTAAATATGAAAGGCGTTTTCTGGATCTGTCTGATGGCCGCAGTCCTGTTACAGCATGTGGTTTGCGGACGTGTGTTTGCGTTTGGCTTGGTGATGAGATGATGCCAAGTGGATCTGCACTCCCTTGGGCAGTAAGGTGAGTGACTCAGTGGCCCAGGGGGGGTCATTCGTCAGTTTTTTCAATGACGGAGACCTGCAGAGTCCTAGCTTTGGGGTTTCTTTAGCTCCTGTCACTCACTTATCTCACTTTGCTCTGCTTGCCACAAGGTGCCAGGCACAGTTAAGAGGCCAAGGTCCCTGTATCCTGTTATACTTCCACAGCCCATGTAAGCCTGAGTGGTCAGCTTCGCTCGGGCTCCCAGTCCCCCAGTCCCAGGCTCATCTCTCGGCTGGGTTTGGAGTGTAGCTTCTGGGTGTGTTGGGTTGAGTTTAATCTCCCTGTGTTTTTTTCTGGTTCCCTTCTGCTTTTTGCACACCTTGTCACCGGCATCGTGGTTCTGTGTCCCAGTGTCTTGTTTCCAGGTTTACGGTTTCAGTTCGCCTTGCATATCCTCTCTGGTTCTATGGTTCTGTCTATGGTTCTTGCTTCCATATTTGTGGTCTTAGTTATTGGGAATTCTGCAGCTGGTGTGCTGAGTGGCTGGGGTCTTGTTTTTAGGGTTTATTGTGATGGTGTTTTTTTCTGGTTCAGTCCCATTTCCTGGTGTCTCCAGTGCTTCACTCTTGAGTCTGTGGCCAAAATCAAATACTTGTTTGTATGATCTCTGAATTTATACCTTACAAAAGAGGGATCAGTTCTCTCAACTGACACCAAATATCCATCAGCTTCCAGCCCCTTGTAATGCAGCATTAAATGTGCAAAGAAAGAGCCTGACTGAACAAAGAGGCAAGTTACCAATGGCCTGCTTACTTACCTTAACTTGAATTTAAAGTATAAATTGAAATTAAAGTATTGACTATAAATTGTATTTTAACATGAATGGGAAAGTGAGTATAATTAAATGTCAAACAGTCGTATGACCTGCTCTGAAGGACATCTCATGCCATCCTCTTCCTGGGAAGGTCCTCTTCTGCGCAGCAGATTTTGCTTAATCTGTGCAAATGTGGGACGACGGCAGACAATAAGCATTTTGCATCCCAAAACACATTAACATTCAAGAAAGTAGCGTAATGTTTAATGCTACAGATTCTCTCCTCTAATACGCATACATACTAGCAAATGCACTATTCATTTACTGTTCTTTTACATTTCAAATGCCAGCGTTACACTTCTGTAAATATGGAATCATGAAATTAAAATTATAATGAAAAACCTTTTTTCAGAATGATCTCTTAAATCATGTAGCACATTATGATTGCAGGCTTTGCAAATGCTAAATTGGGATAATATCGCATCACACGTACCTCCATGCATGACATGCGGCTTTGCTGAGCCTCACTGCAGACAGACTGCTAACGGGAGGTGTTTCAGGCTGTATCTGCTACAAGGACGAGTGACCTGTGGATCTGTGACCAGCAGATGGACATTAGCCTTTAGCGTGTCACCGTCACCTGCATTCACAACCTTTCCCAAACCCCACAGTCTTATTTAATTAGTTTGCCAATGATCAGCATGCAATGAAATGTATGACGTATTTGTCTCTGATGAAGGTGCCTATAGCATAAATGTATTATTACACTGCTTCTATTCATAGATAAAATTAATATTTTAACTTTTAAAAATAAATTTCCTTGATACAGATGAATGATGATGCTGGTTGCCAGGGGAACCAGAAGTCCATAAACTCCCCTGTGCAGCTTCTTGGGATGCTTGGTTGGTACACACCTTAGGCTCTTCTGTCCTGTTTGTTTCCAAGCCAGGACTCATAGCATGATACTGTAAGTTGAAGGTGTTATTAAAGCGGATTGTATTAGAAATGAAAATGAAAGCGAAAGTGCCTTGAGGTCTGCAGGTTCTTTTTTGTCATCTTGGGATTCTCCTCGTAGGCTGCATGTACTTCAGTGGATACCACCTCCATGCTTAGGACTTGTTCTCCCCACGTCCGTGTGAGTGAGTGTGTGTGTGTATGTGTATGCCCTGTGATAACCGACCTCCTGCCCTGGGTGTCCCCAGCCTGGTGCCCTGTGATGCCTAGTACAGGCTCCTGTCCCCCCTCCTCCGTCACCCCCTACTGGACAAGAGTTTGGAAAATGGGTAGATGATACTTGTTGTGACTTGATTTAGGGCCCTATTTCAGATGGTCAGCATGTCTGACGTCTGCACAAAATACAACATTACATTTATAGCAGAGATAAACTACAAAATATTTGCCGTGGAAATGATTCAGATGCCTAAAATAAATGCAATAACATTTTACTGTATTTAAACATTCCGATAACACTGCTCCTGTTTTCCAGACATTTATGTGATAACAAAGACTTATGTCTTTGGAATTCACATAGTGGGCAAGAAATATAGCAACATAATTCAAAATATTGTTCATATATTTACATAAAATAGTGCCACACTACCCTATAACCCAGCATAGGCGGGGAAATAATTATTGCTGAGTTTTCTTTCTTGTGGATTTTTAAATAGCAGGTTCAAACTTGTTCTTGCTTAACTTTGCTGTTCAGACCATTAGGAAAGATTTATCTCCCTCAGCTTCAGCCTCATTGTAACTTTCTTTTGGAGAATTTGTCTCCCTGATCCCTCAGAATGTCAACAGCGCCTCTATCTTATTCTCTCTGATGTGTCTGACCCTGAGAGATTACTGCTTTTTGCTACATACCCTTCAGATTTATTCTCTTTCCATTTCTCCTACGACAGTCGGACTGCTCTCTGTGGAAGGGCACACTGTAAATAAACACTGCAAATAACTGGTCATGACACGAAGGTCCTGGTTTGCTGTATCTTGTGGCTTTACCGCCCTGCAGTACCATTCATCTCCCTCGGCCCGCTCTGTCTCCAGGATGTTCCAGCGTCCCAGTCCACGGACTGTGACAGGTGTTTTACTGAACTACACTAAATCAGTGACTCGTCGATTCACCCTGCAGCCTCGTGCCTCCTGAGCTGTGAGTTTGACTCCCATCCCTGGCCGTGTGGGAGGAGTTTGCCCGTTCGTCTCATGTCTGTAGAGGTTTCCTGCCACAGTCCAAAAACCGCTTGACCAAAACATATGTTTTTCTAACCTGCTTAGTGTGTGTGTGTGTGTGTGTGTGTGTGTGTGTGTGTGTGATTCTTATAAAAAAAAGATGCACCCACAATGTGATTAAAAACCTGCTATTTTGACCTTGTGGGGACATTTTTCCCCTGCAAGGGGAGACTTTTATAAGATTCTGTGAGTGCAATTTATAAACTAAAAGTGTTGTATTTAATTTGGATACTTATAGTTAAGGTTGTCATTGTTGGGATTAGGAATTTTCCCATAGAAATGAATGGACGTTCACCAAAAAAAAATATGAATACAAACATGTGTGTGTGTGCATGTGTGAGTGCGTGTCTGTTTGTGTATCTGTGTGTGTGTGTATGTGTAGGTGTGTGTGTAGGTGTGTCCGACCTTCTCTCCTGTGTTGCCTGGAATAGACTCTGGACTGAATGGATTCGATACACTAAATCAAGTCAATTTCTAATAAAAGCGATTTAACTGCTGTGTCCATTAATATCCATTTGAGCAGGCCGAATGGCCGTCTTTCATTTGCGGTGTTTCTTATTTTTAAATGCAACAATTAATTTGTGACCTGTTGGCTTCCTGTGTACCATTTGCTTAACCAAAGTAGAACATTGACCCAATATGAAAATATGGGTAAAAGTCACCTGTGCTCATATATGAGAAACAGGCTAGCATGGTGGTGTGGGAAGGCGCCCTGTTGCCTCACACCTCAGGGGGTTGGAGACCATGAGGTTTTTCCACTGCTAGTAAGAGTTTTTCATTGCAAGTTATGTGTAGCCGAGCCGTAGCCGAGCCGTACCCACGCTGACATAGCAGGGCTGAAAGCGTGATCAATCTGAGCTGGTTGTGTCACCACCATCTGATTGAAATTCAGGGAGATACTGGTGTTCTGCATCGATGTGCATGGATTATCTGAAGGAAAAAAGGGCATATTCTACATATAGGATATTCCCAGGTTATGAATGAGACCCGTTCCCTAAGTCTAAGTCACACTCGTAGATTGGTCGGAATACTAAAAATACTGCACATAATAATAATAATTATTATATAGTAATAAAAGTAACAAATATGATACTGTACCTCTAGCCGAGGAACTGCTGAAGCCACGTATTTTCTGAGTGTAACAAAGTATTGTGTGCGTTTGTCATTATGAGTCATTGCATTTAACTCAATTTTTTAACATAGTAGGCTTTACGGCAGTCTATTCGTAAGTTGAAGATGCCTGTAAGTTTGCCGTTCTTAACCTCCTACTTAAAGTACTAGAGAATAGCTGAACAGAATGGATTTGTAATGCTAATTTATGCAAGCTAATGCTAATTTTGCTAGTGTTTGATGTTAACATAACACAGAGATTCTCACAGATGTGCTAATGGTTATTATCATGATGTACAGTATATCGCGTAAGCAGTAAATAAGTATCAATTCAATTTTACATCACTGCTGCTCTCCAGACCCAACAATGCCGTTACCGAGCCGGCCCTTCTGCAGTGGAAAACCGAAGCGAGCTGGAACTGCGCTGTAACTAGTATTATTTGTGGTATGGGTTGGGTATGGCCTTGGTCCTGTATGCCAGTGGAAAAGCGCCATTAGTGTGCTGTGTGTGTGTGTGTTTGTATGTGCAGGTTTCCTCCTGCAAGCCAAAGATGTGCAGTTAGGAGAACTGGTGCCTTTGAATTGTCAATAGTGTGTCATTATGTACATTTGCAGGGCTGGACTGGGATCACACGACTACCTTGGGGTCTCAATAAACTGTGCTGCCGAGGAGGGGGCGGGGGGGGCTGAGTCCCATGTTTTGTCAAACTGGGGGAGTGCAGTGTCCGCAGTATTCCAAATATCTTCAGCATGCCCGGTATACCAGTTGCCAGATGGCCCCTTTCCATGCCTGTACATGCCTGTGTCTCCTACGATGGCCTGCAGCCCCGCCCAGGGTGCCCCCCGCCCCTTTTGTGCCCCATGCTGCTTAAGAAATGTCTCCACAAAGCCGTCCCATTAACCTCCGTGACTCTGTGCTGGATATGAAGTTGCAAAATGCTTCTCAAATTAAACGGAGTTTCTTTATGCAGTCAGAGTTGCACACGCAGTATTTAATGGGATGAGGGAGTTATCCCCGCTTGCAGATACATGCGGCATCGGTGACCTGCCATGAGACACCCGTGGATGTAACTGCTTACAGACGCAAAGCTGTTTGGAGGTAAAGACTTCGCCAGCTGGGGAGGCTGGATTCCTCCTGGAGTCGCTCCTCTCTTTCTTCCTGTTTTTTCTGCCTCTCAAACTACAAAAACTGGCTGGGTGGCATATTTTTAGCTGGGGAAGGATAAAAAGAGATACTGAGAATCATGATTTCATTGTGTTGAATATTGCTCTCAATGTAAAATAAATCAGAGAGCAATGTGGAATCTGCTATTACACAGCACACTACTGGCATTCTCTGCAAGCAATGCAAGTTTTAAAAGCTTGTTACAAGTCTTGAAAAAGTATTTTAATTTTTAAAAAACTTAGTTGAAGTAGGGTTAGTTGAAATAACTTTCAGTGAGAGTTACACTTGAGCATTTACATTTCATGTTTGTATAATACCATCTTCAAGAAATACGACCCAATTTCCCTGACTTGTAATGTCCCAGTAAACTAAAATAAAGATCCATTGTCATTCTGCTTCCAGTCATCCTGGGATTTTAATCATATTCCTGCAGCCAGCTTCACTTGCCAGTCATTTTCAACACAACTGGTTATTTTACTGTTTTATTCAAATATTTATATCTTGCACTGAATATTTTTAATGAACAATGTAGGACATTTAAGAAACGTTATTTAAAAAAAAATCCCAGAGGTCCTTTAGCTTATGGTTCAGATGATCATAAAACCTGTGTTTTCTGTACGGATGATAGAAAGTTATCTAAATCAGATCTAGTTACATGGGAAATGGCTGTCCGTGTTTGTTTTGTAAATTATGTCCTGGGTATCAAGAAGCCCTATCAGCCCACTGGCCTACCTAAAAATGAAGCTATGGAGCTGCGTCTGAAAACACAGAACCCTTGACCAGAAATAAAATCAAGGCCTAGAGTTGATGCGCATATTCAGAAAGAATACGATAAAAAAAAAAAAAAAAGAATCCCGGCATGTAGTTCGATCATCTCCCTTTATGGCTTTTCTGAATTAGCATTTCTAGTTTTCCCAATAACATTTTTATATCTTCCATTCCATCTTTTCAATTTGTAGAGGAACAATGACTTTCTAAGGCAGGTATTGTCTAAAGCAAAAATGTGTAAATGAAAATCCACACTGCATACTGACTTCGAGTACAAGGAAGATTCCCCACCTGAGTGTAATCCCGGAGTCACCAAGCCCCTGGAGTAAATCACTCATAATGTTGAGGTTTATAGTCATTTTACATTGATTTTTGGAGACTCAGTGAGCTGAATACAGATATTCCTTGAAATTTCACGGCAAA